CTTTTTTTTCTCTTTTTTTATAACTAATTTACATTGAGAGATAGTAGTGCCTTGGTTAATTAACCAAAACATATGACGTTTTTCCTTCGTGAGCCCTCGTTAATTTGGTGCAGCTTGTCTATGTCGTGACTTTTGACAAGAATTCCTAATATGATACCAATTTAGTTTAATGCATCATCTATTTAATTCTTTTAATTTTTTACGTTTTCAAAGAAAAGTACACAAAAATGAAGATCGTACAGTCTTTCTCAAAAACGTCTAGTTTGAATCAGAGTTTGAAAGCTGAGAGCTGGAAAGCGCTTTTGTATTGGATTTGTTGAAGTCGACTATGGACGCGAAGATATCAACTTCTCAAATACAATTGTATTTTATACCCAAACTGATCTTTCATAACAAACAGCATTTAACCAGAGTTCACGTACTGAACATGCACCAATGCTTTTGACTGGTGTTGAGACGCGTTAATCTACGTCAAATAGTAGCTGTTATTAATTGGCTGTTATTAATTGTTTGCTTAGAATATGAGGCAACACAACACAATCAACAGAAATATTGTTTGTTTCTTTTTTCCTGTTGGTTTACCTTTTAGTATTATCTTTGCACCTGTTATCGGTACGTCAAGGAGACATTTTGAACGCACAAAAGGCTAAATAAAATGATGCAATATGTTGAATGTATTTCAGATTTGAGATTAATAACCACCTCACTTTTTTGTTTACTTGAAAAAGTTGCTTGTTGTACATTTAACTGCACTTACACGTTGACGGCAAACAAGTGTTATAAGGACTTGAACAAATTGAATACACGTTGCCCCAGATGCGGCATGCAATGCTCGACCCCAACAGCGTGAAACAGGATGGTGAGGACCAGCGAACATCGTACATGTAGTGCTCACACAAAGCCTGGCGTTGGGACAGTACCTCAGCTCAATCTGCACCACGCCACTCCGTTGACAATGCACACAAGTAAAATATTGGACGATTATATCGTTATTTCCTCACGTTTTTTTTTCTAGCTAAGACATTCAAGACATACAGGGTCAGCGACTACCCTTCGCCAATGTTAGCCCAATTTACGAAGTACTTCACATCCAATTCCCCCTTCTTGAGTTTTCTGGGATTAACAAAAAATGATGTTATCATTTATCACATGATCTTCCATATAGTTTTATAAGGTTAACTGTGCCAGTTAGCGACCTTTTTTGTGAAAATCATCAATACTGAGGTTTGGCAAGACAACTCGATGACATCTGGAAAAACGATCAATATAATGGGTATAATGGCAGCCATTTTGGATCTTCCATATGTCCTCATAATTATCCAGTCACTTATTTCCAAATAGATTTTTCAAAGAAGTAAAAATACATAAAACAAATTCCAAAATACGGGAATCAACATATTACACGGAAGCCGTTACGATATATGCAAATATGACACCCCTCCCACAGGAAATTTAGGTGTCATCCTTCCAAATATCTACTTTAGGGATATGGGCTCCGTCCACCAAAAAAAGAGGGCGCCCTTTTACATAGCAACGACGTCCCATGGGCTGGTTGACGCGCGCACCGTTCCTTGTGTGTGACGCACGTACACCAGGGGATTTGTAATATGTACACACAGTGGCCGCGCTTCGCGGCAATAATATTGCAGTCAGGCAAGATGGCGTCGTTCGGTAACCCCCCAGCTGTACTTGTTTTGCCGGTGAGGGAGATAAGAGTTTGTCTGCCCAATTTGTTGCTGTGGACCAATCTTGTCAACAATTGGATCTAAGCCACTTGACTATTAGAGTCCCCCTCTGTCCAGAATGTGTCCGTGAAGAGTGCGTGAGAGCGCGAGCGTTTGTTTATGGTGTAAATCGAGGACACACACACGTGCAACATCATCGATGAACTGAGGACAGGAACTAAACCGAGAGCTCTTGTGGTTAGAAAACGTGTAAAAAAACAACGACAGCTGTTGCAAAAGAAAATGTTAAAGCGTTGATATGTGAGTAGAATATAAACAAAGGAAAAGGGAAGAGGAACAACAGAAAATCCCCGATTTACACAATAAACAGACGTGCAGGTAAGTGTTCCCTGTGTGCCTGGTGGTAGACTGCCCTGCAACGAGCCTGCTCCCTTGGCCTTGTCGATTGGACTGCAGGATGGTGTCCGCGAGGTTCAACCTCGAGTTACCTCGAGTTACCGCTTGTTTAATTGGGAATCCTCCCCTAACGTCAGACCATGATGGAGCGACATCGTGCATGAGCTGCCAGGCTGGCCATTAGTCTGCTCCATTACATATCGCGCTAATTAAACATTTGTTTACAGCTTCCAGATACACGACCATCGCTCCCTCAGGCTGGGAGGATTACACAATTGCAACACCGTCTGCAAATGGTGCTCGACTAGAATGACACTGTTAAAAATGCCCCTAGATTTACGGACTCTGTAAAGTGAAATATTCCGTTATAGTTATACTATAAAGTGAATTTTCGGCGTAATTTTACGGACTTTCCGTAAATGTAAATATAATTGTTTTGCTAATTAGTGTGATTACAATTCACCAAATCGGCCCAAACACCTACACATAATATAGTACATCTAATTACATATTGTTATTTCACCTACAACCGTGTACACATGTCCAATCTTATGTTAAGGGTCTGTTTATTTTACGGAAATTTTGCTGCCAGCAAGAAAATAGCGTTCCATTTGCCTACAGCAAAATTTCCGGATTTTATTTTTTTCATTCCGTAAAATTAACAGACCCTTAACATGAGTTTGGACATGTGTACACGGTTGTGGGTGAAATGTACTTAGATGTATTATATTATGTGTAGGTGTTTAGGCCGTTGTGGTTGATTGTTATCACTCTAATTAGCATAATTAATATTTGCATTTACGGAAAGTCCGTAAAATTACGCCGAAAATACGGAATATTCCACTTTACTGAGTCCGTAAATTTACGGGCATTTTTGACAGTGTAGTACAAAATATATGGAAGCCCAGAGAGATACTCGATTGTAACCCCATCTAAAAACACATTACAATTGTTCAGCAGCAGGATTCCATCATGAGTTTGGTGGTTTTGAGACATCATCTTTCATTAAAAAAAAATTATAATAATAAAAAAAAATATAAACTTTTTTTTAATTTCGCCGACGCGCATGGCTACTTTTTTTGTTGGCCTAAGTTTAGTAGGTCAGTAATCGACATCGTGGTTTGAGAACTGTAACGTCAACTGAATTTGTTTTACACATTGTAACAATCCTGAAATGGCGTCACCAGTAACCTTGTAGCGAACATAAGAAGCATAGGCTAGGCTGGCTCCCGATTCACGAATCTTCAGTGCTGCGGCTTCGAATGTTTGTAGCATTGGGGAGGCGGGAACTAGACTAGGCCGTAATACAGAATGATACCGCGCCAGCGTTGCGTTCCAGGTTGAGCTATGGAATCGATTAAAAAGAAATGTACTCGATTTGTGTTCTCGAGTACTGGATTCGAGTACCAAGTACCAAACCATGAGTCCTTGCAAAATTCGAGTTCCAAAAACCAAGTACGGGTCATATCCAAATAATTTCGAGTTCAATTTGGTTTGTTATTTCCAAATCAATTAGTTTTTATTATAACCACAGCCACGCAATTAACTTCCATGGTAAACCTTTGGAGCAGATTATCTGACATTAAAACAAGTTGTACAAAGTTTACAAACTACCACATAGATCAACTTTTCAAGACATAAACTTTTGTTCACGACGACACACGATTGTTTTATATTTACTTTATGTCGGAACGCTGTCCTTTATTTGATTGCGGTTTATTAGATTAAGTATTGCTTTCATACAGATCATCTGTTACGTAATATTTACGTCAAAATAACTAAATTGCATTCGTTTTAAATATGAGCTGAACTCATCACCATGATCATGGCCGTACTTTGAATTATTTATATTTCATGCAAGGTTATTGTATCTTTGAAAGGTAAAAGTGCAAACGTGCACAAGCCTATGTGCATTGGTGGTTGTGCAAGTTTCTAATATCTTGAAAAATTTTGCAACTAAGCTAAAGTGCGTTTGGAAGAAAAGTAACGTATATTTACTATTTGAGTAGGTAAACTGTTGCTTGACAATTACACATGTACCATGCTAATTAAACAAGAATAGCCTCTGAGGCATGTTTTGTATTTAAATACCGTTACATTTATCAAATATGAAGCACTGCACATTTATCGCTTTTTTTTTGTTTACAGAACATATACCACAATTTATATCACGAGTATACTGATAAGCTGAAACTATGAAAAAAAGAGATAACATACACATATGATGCAAACGATTCTTTGTCCCTAGTTGAAACAAATAAAACAAGACAGCGCGCCCTCACGGACTGGAGAGGCAGAAAACGCAGCAAGAATTGGTGACATTTTGTGAGGTACGTGCTGCGCTTTTTTTGTTCAGAAGATTGCTTTCGTGTGCGGCAGGCTTAACGTTAACGATGTGTTTAACACGCATTGAGTTTCTGATGATTCAACCAAACAGTGTTTCCAAAGCGGTGAATGGCGTGCAGCAAATGGCCTATTCCTTTCCCTATGGGCTCCGTGCGACAACTAAAGAGGGCGCGTTTTTTCCCACATGTAAAAGCCTCTTGGACGGGAGACACAGCGTGTGCGCCTGTACTGTATGGGTTCGCACGTGAAGTGCGCACTACTTCCTGGAATGTATCTCAGGCTAATCCCCACCCACAATAACTTTGGATCGTTCGAAAGACGAAGTGGATGGACCGGGAAAAAGTCCAGGTCTACCCCAACTCTCCTTTTGTGGCCGTTGAAAAAGTATTTTGTGCACGGAGCCCATAGGTCACTTGCTTCTTACGGAGGCCGTGTGCTTCCGTATATTTTTAATTAGTTCAAATACACATGGTGTAATCGATGTTATTTCAATAAGTTATTGACAGGCGTCGTTCGGAGTTATGCGGTTCAGAACACATCCAACGTAAACGTAAGGTGATTTTCAGCACCTGCAATGCATGCGCTTACAATAAGTGTTAATCAATTATGTTTTGCTGTCTGACAAGGAGGAGTTTACTGTTTCGATTGATCCAGTTTTGGGTTTCGAAACTGTATTACCCGACTTCACGTTACTGGGCTGCACGCTGCGCTTGGCCATGACAGACGAATAGATCGTGTACAGGTAAGGGTTGAGAGAGGAGTTGATGGGAAGGACCAGGACTACGATCCAGGAGTAGACCTCAGCACCGACATGCACCGCCCCGGTCTGAGACAGGATACCGAGAATGATGACAGGCATCCAGCAGGCAAAGTCCGTACCGACGATCAGCGCCATCTTGACGGCCATTTTGATCTCGCTGTCCCGGTTAGAGTTCTTTCTGATCTGGCTAGCAGACCGCTTGGCCTTGATGAAGATGGCGACGTAACAGACAAGGACGACCAGGAAACAGCAGAGATTGATGCCGAGAAACATGACGATTGACAGGATCCAGGCTGGTTTCTGACCGGTCGAAGAGACGATTTGCAAGGCGTCTGCGTCCCCGAATGGATTGTTGACGTCACTGGGCTCAAGCTGGACTCCGTCCGCCTTGGTGGTCAGGGGCAGGCCGATGCAGACGTCAGACAGACCGTAGATGTCCGAGTTGGAGTCGACGACTAGAGTCGGTACGATGCTTAAGCAGAGAGCCGCCACCCAACCCACTATGATGAACTTAATGGCAGACGTCTCGCCGAGCTTCATCCTGGTGAAGGGAAACACGATACCCAGGAGGCAATCAAGACTGATCATTGTAACGAAGAACACCGAGGCCTCACTGGACAGAACAGACAACACCCCGGCAGCCTTACATGGCGCGCTGGTCCGCCACTGCGCCGCTTGAGTGGAGTACCGCTCCCCGTAGTGAATGTCGGCAGCGGCTATTATCAACATGTACACCCCCATAATGAAATCAGACACGGCAAGATTAGCTATCAGCAAAGAGTGAGTCTTCTTGACTTCATTTCCTTCCTTGTGACGAAGCCTCCAAACAATTACCACAAAGTTGCCAAAGAGGGCGCTAATCCCAAGGACCCACATGCACACGCGCAGTCCGTAGTTCTGCATGAGGGAACCGCAGAGGTTGAGCGGGGGCTGTGACTGTGTTGTATGACAGTTGCTGATCTGGAAGCCTGGAATATCTCTCAGGAGATTGCAGCAAAGTCGGTAGTCATCAACAACACTGGGGAAGAACCAATGGAAAGTAAACTTGAGAAAAGCTTCAAAACTTTCATCGTTGGAAAGTATGGCATCTCTTTGCTCATAACAAAGCAAAATGTCATCTAGATCAAACATATATTACGCTTTTGTAGAAGCAGGTAGAGAGGAAAAGGCTCCGTATTTCGCATCTAATGGGTCATCGTCGCCTATGTCTCGAACCAGGACCCTGCACAAATCATAATAATGCACAGACATATTTTTTTATCGAGGCATGGTATTGTTCATCACCGATACATGGTGTCCACATAACTAGTCAAAAACGACAAGTACAATATCTATCACTGCTTATAAACCTAAAAGACGATGTGGTTTAAAACATTTCAAAAGGAACATCCGTTATTAAATCATGTTAAGACTCCAGTCTCATAGAAACCTACATTAACACTAAAATAACCCCGGATATCACACGCAGCTCAGTTGATTGAGAGTGTTTTCTTTGACCGTTGGCAGCCTACAGCGTATTGTTGATACTAAGTTCATATTCAAATTCTAACATTCGTCTAAGCCATAATGTTCAAAATAGGTTGAAACCAACATTAAATACAAAAGAAGTGTTAGCCTGCTTTTCAGCCCGTCCAAATTATACACTTACAACGTTTTCAGATTGTAGAGACCAGTGAATGCATTCTTAGCTGCAATTCGCAATTCTGGTGCATCCGTAATGACCCTGTTGAAAATACAAAGAGCAATATTGTCTTTTATTTACCCAAATGTCGTACTGATATCAATCATGCGCTTGAAGCTATTGAAAGCTTGCCATGTTGTCTTTATTAAAACTTCCCCAAAGTACATGAATGTGCAGACTATCGACAAATACGTCGTGCGGCATTATATACGCCACAGTGAAACATTCACTGTGGGAGCTACGAATATCCACGGGTTAACAAGAATCAATAGATCACGATGAACCGTCGAGATTCGTGGAGAAATCGCCTTTCTAAGAATGCACTACGGTTTCAGGACGGATACAGGCACGACTGTCATTATGTTTCACTACGAATAAACCATGGTTTGTCAAGAATATGATCGGATTGTTGAAGAATATCGACGGTACTACTAAAAATAATGACGTAAACGCCACGGTTGTCTGCGATTGGGCTACGCACGACCAAGGTTATCCTACGAGTGAAGCATATATACTAGTAGTACAACCTTAGCAGAATCCTAGCATATCAGGGCATATCCGTAGGACATTAGAAGCGAATTCGTGGAGATTTCTACCACGAACGAGCTACGAATCTACAGGACTATGTACAAATAGCCATGAATAACACTCTGAATTAGTACGGTTGCACTACGGATGGATTTTCACGACGATTCACCACGGAAGTTTTGAACAGTTTAAAACTTCCGTAGCTCCTCCACAAGTACCGGAGGCAGATGACCGATAAACACGGATGTACCAAGGATGAATACGGTATTCCCACGGTTCAACACGAATTTTAAACTGTGTATATCCATAGCTGCGAACCGTGACTGGAGCTTTTAGGTCACGGATCAGATGTGACGCTTTGGGGTCAAAATGTTTCCACAGGGGGATACTGACCCAAAATGATCCCTTGGCCTTATGGACTAGGTAGTGTAACAATTTGATTCCTGTTCAGGTTCCACTTATTTGTGTTCGATGACGTTACTGTTCGAACCGAAAATGTTCGAGACTCTTAAAATGGACATCCGGCGCGACCAGGCTTGGGTCATATGTTATTCAAAACATGTTAAAATGTGTCTCAGATGCTCCTTTTGATTAACACTATAAGTACTTGGATCAGATTGAACTGTAATAAAGTTTTCGTTTCACTTACAGCGCTTCGAGGTTCTGGAGTTCACTGAATGTGTCGGCTACTATCTCAGTCATCTTATTCCCGGAAATATTCCTGTCATTCAAACAAAATATGTACGAAGGCAAATTAGTGTGGAAGATGAGAAACTCTGTCAGCTTAAGATTTTACAAGAACCCGACATGGACCACAGAAGGAAGATCGTAAATGCCAAAACAAACCTTAAATTTCGAGGTAAACAAATTAATGAAAGGGAGAGTGATTGCAATTGCTACAGCTGCCAGACGTGTCTATTTTATCAGGTCATACTTGAATAATTCTTGGCAGATTTAGTTCGAAAAGAATATCACTCACAGATATGTAAGATTTCCCAAGCCGTAGAAGGTTCCTGGTGGGATTTCACGTAGCTTGTTGTAGGGGACAGAGCTTTGAATTAATAAAAAAAAACAAGGTTTAATGTCAAGGTTTGATGTTTCGTCGAATATATCGATAAAGAACTGTCGATTACACAAAGATTGAACACGTGTTAGGATCATTCTAGTTTTTGAAGGTCGAGGCCCGAAAGACATTACAACGGAAGGCCTTAGTCCGAGCATAAAGGTTATTGCAACGTCATTTAGTTAGGCGGTCTTTAATTTTGAATAACGAGCGGAGAGACAGCACTCAACTTGAGGTTGGTTTTGTAATTTAACACCTGCATTATTCACCAGAACTGATTATCTAAACTTCCCTACAAGCTTAATTGACTCGCTCTTTAAATAATTATTGATCCTGCGGTAATGAATGCGATGCCCGCCAAAAATTAAACGGACGGGAACACCTGTTATTTTTTTGTATTTCTTATTTGTTTGTGGGGGGGGGGGCATACCACTGCTTTATAGGCAAGGATAACATTGATACATGTACATTATTTACTAATTGATTGATTTCCAGCAGACAAAGACAAAGGAAACATCAGTTTCTTTTGCCTCTTCTACTTACAGTGATCGAAGAAGCTTCAATTCTTTAAAAAGTCCCGGTACGAGTTGAATGGAACTGTGGTTCTTTTGCCGAGTTAGCCGGCTATATAAAGTAATATAAAGAGAAAACAGTCGCTGAATGCATTATTAACAAAACAAAAAGTTGAGTTACAGTTTCTAGGTCGTGCAACTCATTGGCATATTTTCAAAACGGTAGGGACGATTTTGAAATAAAATTATGCATCGTATCAAATAATCGTTTAAGTATGAGAATAAAAGTCAATGCATCATTACGGTACATCGGCATGTACTAAACATGTTGTGTTAGTAACAAGAAGGGCATGTTATATGGTAGTGTTTTAACATAAACAGACCTAAAAAGAGGAAGAAGGCATTTGCTGTGAGAGACTTGAAGAGAGTGGATAAAACGAGAAGAAGGAGGCCCTAGAGTTTAAGATTAGAAAGACAAACAGACACAATGCGACAAAACCAAAAGAGACGAGACTAGACAATATAAGATGAGACAAAAAAAAAACCGAGATATGGTGGAACAAGACGAGAAATGAGCCAGACATGACAACGCAGTTGCACTTTTCAGCTTAGAAATACTCACAGTGCCACGGTGATTTTCGCGATGTCTTGTAAATCATCTGGTTTCCAATCATGTGAACACATTACCTGGAATTGGCCATTGACGTACGTACAGGAACAATTGTTTGGACAGCGTTTGTTATCTGCAAAATTATTGTAAAACACAATATGAACCTCTTTGCGTATTGCATTACCACATGTTACAAGATGCTCAGTCTGGCATGCATGTTCCTGTTGGGAAATTATTTTTTTATTTATTTTAATGCCAACCTTATAATAAACCGCACCGAGCCTCATGATTGGGTCAATACTGTACTATGAACCTTTGCGTATTTATTTCGGAACAAAAATTCCAGACATTGTTTTTACGTGCATCAGGCGCGGTTCTAGAACCAATATTTTTTTTTTTTTTGGGGGGGGGGGGGCTAGCATGGTGGATACAGTTTTTTTTCAGGGAGGCGTGCTGAAATGTTGACCTGTTATTTTTTTTCAGACACTTAGGCCTCCAATAGGGAGGGGGGGGGCATGCCATATTTTCAATGGGGAGCGCCAATAAAATCCTAAAATCATTCACACTATATTAACTAATCCACCCTTGTCACGGCTATTTCTTCTTTAAGGGGAGAACGTTCGCATGTACATCACAATCCTTCTTTTTGCTAATGCTTTTTTTTGTGTTACGGAATTATTTTGGGGGCTAGACAACATTTTAGGGGGGGGGGGGGGCTACAGCCACCCTCCAGCCCCCCGTAGAACCGCGCCTGACGTGCATCTATAAAGGGTGCCCCCTAAAAAAACACCGGAACGCCATAATACTTCAACTACCTTGAGACTCAAACCACTAATACCTAATGGACGGAGAATCTTTTTAGAAGAAATATAATGCCAAGCTCTTCCGAATTGGTCCAGTTGTTTTGCTTCCTATTTTGTGAAGACCACATCTTTCTTACCTAACAATTAACCCCTCTTTCCAATTAAGCCAAATTAACGTAGTAATTAGAAATTAGCTCACAATATTTAACATGATCAATGCCTTAATGTACACTCGGATAACGACGATTTATTCAAGCGCTGTATGAATGGAAATAACGAACAACAATAAAATGTAAGTATTTGGTTGCACGTGGACAACATTCTTGTACCAATATGGGAAACCAAAGACCTGGACTGGGATGGGATGTATTACAAAAGTTCATTTGTCCTTACCGCATTCTACTTCATCGTCGCCGTGCTCACAGTCAATTTTACCGTCGCAAACACTTTGGAACACAATGCAGGTTTTTGTTCGGCTGCAGTGGTAATCTGATGGGCAGTACACCTCAGCTGAAACAATACAAAAAGGATCACTGCTAAAACTAAACTGTGGAGGAATTCAGTTGTGTAAATGTAGACTTATGTTTGTGGACAAACACAGGGATGTTTCGTCAAACCATTTTGCTGACATCTGTCATGCATATACAGTTACAAGTAGACGTTCTACCCAGGAACGGTACTTATATATATATATTGCGATGTGTACAATTGAAGGTGGCGTTTAATAATACGTGCTTACATTATCATATGCCTTCGAATCCTACATGTTCAATGTGACTTTACATAACAGGTGATGACGTCATCATGACGTCACCTCAGCAGCGTATCCAGCTTTTGATGTCAGGGGGGGGGGGGCAACCGCACATCCGCACCGAAATGTAGACATGTTTTTTTTTTTTCTCCATACACTTGCCCTCCGTAAAATCAAAAAAGCGAGGGGGGGGGGGGGGACCCATCTTCCAAAGGGGGCGCTTTCAAACTTACCATTATTATGTTTACTCTATTATTATATGGACAATTTCACGGCGCATTGTAATGGTTGTTTAGCGGGGTTTTCTTTGGTGGGATTGATGTCAGAAGAACTCTATAAACACTTCAAATCATTGCTGACAAAAAAACTTGTCAAAAAAATCCGCCAGGGGGACAAAGTGCCCCCCCCCCGCCCCCCACTGGATACGCCACTGCGTCACCTCAATTGTCATCTATAACACATCCCGGTCTATACCTACCAAGTTACTTCACCGATTCGGAAAAAAAATACTTCTGTAGGCCTTTAGGCCTATGTTGGCCGAAAAAAAAATCAATTTTAATGTGTCGACACATGACATGTGATGACGCCATCATAACGTCACAACGACGTCACTGAAATTGTCATCTATAACACATCCCGGTTTCGGTGCATGCCAAGTTACAACCAAATCGGAACTAAAGTTCTTTAGATATAGGACTCAGATAGCAACAAACATTAGGAAGCAAAGTATCAGTCAACATCAGACAATACATGCCATACTATGTTCACTGATAACCTGTTTAGGATGTTTGCACAACTTACCACATTCGTTCTCGTCTTCTCCGTTCAGGCAGTCAAGGAATCCATCGCATTCTGCTGATGCTACAAGACACGCTCCCTCCTCGCACAGGAACCCTGACTGCCCGTCAAACATGCACCAATCTGCAGGGGAAAACAAAACACATTTAAATAGTGAAGTTATTGCGTATCTTCGAAAGACAATAAAAACAAAACATAGACCTATATTTAAAGGGAATATACAACATTTGCAAACATCGAAAAATAAAACTACCAAGTTTTTACGAAATACCTCACTAGGATGTTGGTAAATGACAGTCACAAGCATTCTGTAAAATTACGGCACCTGGTGTGAAGTCATTTTCAAGAAAATGGTATTTTTGTATACATTTCCAACGGTGGTCGGCCGACCACCGTTGGAAAAACCTAACTATTGTTCAACTACTGCTCCATATTTACCATTTGTTTCAGTTCAAATTGTGTTGGCTATTTGTTACATGTTCATGAATGAGTGCAGGCCAGCTAGACTGGTTCCCTTACCTTACAATTTTCAATCTATAAATTGATCCTTTTCATCTTTAGTGGAGTCAGGGAGCCAGACTACTTGAACATATTTGTTTTTCTTGTTTTTTTCGAGCATTTTCGGACACAAAACTTCAAACATGTAAGTGTAACAATATTTTGATCTATTATACTAACCCCTCAACTAGTTCATTTCTGAAAATTACAGTGAAAGCCAATGATGTACATTCCCTTTAAGTGACAAATGACGATGATGAGAGGGAGCAATGACGGGGCTAAGGTCTAATATAAAATTCGTGTCCATGCTCGATTCTCAAGAGTGAGAAATACCAACGTTTTTGGAATTTCATCCTCAAACGTACTTGGTTTGTAATCTTAAAAACAAAAATAAGATTTTACTTTTAAAAGATAAAGTAATTCCCACGTTACTGTATTATATTTAAAATGGAATAATTTAAACTATTTTAAGTCAAGCTACTGTTTCCATGCGGAATTGTTTATCACTTCGCATATCGTTGCCTGTTTTAACCTCAATGTTTTTCATATTTTATGTTGTTATTTTTGGCAACATTTTAGAGTAAAACTTTTAACTGGTAACTTAATCAATCACACTGACGGAAACCAATCTGTTTCTGACCTTTTAACTTCAACGTTTAATTGGCAATCTGGTTCGTTGTGGAAATGTACAGATTAATGTAATGTGACGTCAACATAATCTTAATCACCTGACTCCCCAGCTGTTAAATTGATATTGATCAGGTGGAAGTGGAATCCAGTCAGCTGGATGTTAGAGTCGGTCTGGAATCGGACAGTCAGTCCCATCGAAGCGTTAAACACCACGGCGAGTATCTTGGTTGTGGTCCCCGCAAGCGTGTAGCCCACTGGTTCACCCCCGGGGAAAGTGAGCCCGCTGACCTGGGCCACATCCTCGCCTGCCTCGGTGGAGAAGTCCAGGACACGGAACAGTGTGGCTGGAGCCGGACCGCGGGAGGGCACTTCCCAGCGGCAGTACAGGCCCGCCGGGTAGGGCTGCGGATAGCCCGGCGACTTGACGATTACAGCGTCGTCGAGAAAGGTCACAGCGTCGGAGTCGCATTGCACTGTAGAAATGCAAACCAAACAACTCTTTCTTTGAGCGACAGGCAACACAATGATTTTCAAAGCCTTCTTTTAAGGAGTTCCAGGAGGTGTTTCATACACAATGTTGAAATGTGTTCTCCGCTTGTCCAACCTATGCCGAAAATACCAGTATTCCGATAACGTCATGCTGAATTTGAAATGCGAAAACAGGAGCATGTAGTGGATACGTCTCCACCCCCACCCATACATCTTTGTGAACACCGGCAATCGTGGACCACTTTTTGTACCAAATCCTCACTCCGTTGCTTAACTTTTTTACAGCAGCTCTCATTGGTTTTGTACACGAATTCTAATCGAGGACTACCGGCCAATCGTGGACGTATTGTTTGTGTTCTAACCCTTTTGTCCTATGTCCACAATTGCCGGTGTTAACCTACTCACAGGAACACGCATGAGAACAAAGCGTGGCGTTATTACGTCTCAGATCCAATGACTCGCCCGCAGTGCTCGCGAATTGTCAATATCAATCATGACGATTCAGAAACAAAATCACTTGAACGAAGTGTAATACACTAATAAAAACATAAAGCCTAACAGCGACAAACGAACGAAGATTTGAATTAAAGGAGAATAGTGTGCTTAACTTTATAGCGACTTGAGAAGATCAAATAAGTTAAATCATATTTGTTTACGATTTCAGTTTTAAGGGTTGTACTTTATGTTACGTAAGTCTGTTACTTACGGTCAGGACAGACTTCTTCGTTGTTCTCGCTGACGCAGATAAAATCCTTGTAGTCGCACAGCGTTTCCTCTGCTTCACAGGAAACTGTCGGGAGAATGGTTTGCGAGTAAAAAGTTAATAAATTATGTTCTTAATTCGTTGTGTTTAAATATCAAATGAACAAGATCTTACCTTGGTCAGGAGAAACCTGTTCAACTCGCAGCGAAAACCCCGGATACTTGTTCTGGTAGTCAGAAGAAAACACCAAATACATTGAGTGTTCCATCGAAGCAACCCTCGCCGGGAACTTTTTGCTGCAATAAAAAAAAAAAACAAACAAACAAACAAACAAACACAGGTTAGCATTGATTGGATCACAAAGGCATACAAATAACTATATGTCGTAGAACACACTCTGACGGGGGTGATCGAACTGTTACTACCTTTGACAATGTGTGAATCAATGTTTGCGAATGTTCGTTGCATGCATGTTGCGTATGGTCAAATTGGTTTATAAAGAAAAAGCCCATTTTTAGATAGGATGAGAACCACGGAAGCGAGTAATGTAACATGGTGCTGTCATTCTCCATCCGTATCATATCCAAACCAAAGGGCGACACTGATGACCGCTCCTTTCTCCCTCCCCCCCCCCCCCTCCCTCCCAAAAAAATAAAAGTGTTAATAATAATAATTACTGGCAATGGGGTTATAGGGAGACTTTCCCATAGACTTGTGCACAAAAAAAATCCGAATTAATTGTGCCCTAACCCAATATTCCCTGGTCCTTTTTCCACGAATTTCGGTGTTTTTACTAATTAGACCACGAGCAACAAATATAACCTAATTTCGACGGGAACAATTTTCCTCTAAAGGGGGGCTGCGCCAATAGGGAGACACCTAGGTGTCTCCCTATTAAGCCCGTGTCTCCCTACTATCGAAATTTCTACGCTAACGTGTCTCCCTAATAGGACATTTGTAGGAATAATTATTATTATAATATTAATAATTTAATAAAAAGGTAAACATTAAGGCTACAGTAGGATATATGTGTTTATAATTTCATTGTTAGGGCAGTGGTAGTGTTGTGGACGCTGAATTATTTACTGTCTAAAGCCAACGGGGTATCCAGATTTTTTTTGGATTACACAGCAGTGATATATAATGTATCTTTTATGGGAGATCAAATGACTCCGGCAAGTTGGGGACGAGCGAACATTAAATCTTAAATTGGCATTTTTATTTAAAAACCCTGCGGTCTGAGTTCAAACAGTAAGTTTTTTTTAATATTTTTACTTTTCCAGCATTTTATTTTTCGAGCCGATGTTGTAGTTAGGCACATAGTAGTTAGTCCTTACGCGCGAGGCATCATATCATGTCACGTACCAGTTGTGCAAGTCACAACCCCAAGTGAAGACGTTTGAACAAGTCTAGTCAAGTCCAGACACAGTCGCAAGGTAGGTTAAGTGACAAGGCAAGTCAAAGCTATTTAAAACTGATCACGAAATGTGTTGTTTGTTTATCACCCTGTTACATTTGGCATTTCCTTCCAAACAGAATTATGATTTAGCTTGTAGTGGACGCGTCTGCCACAATGGCCAAAAGTCATAACTTTACCCGCTGAGCTGTAGAATGACGTCCTCCATCGGGGTGAGCCCATTGCCGATCCACAGTTTGTCGTAGCCCTGCTCCGTGTCAAAGGTCATGAACGTCATCATGACACGGTGGCCCCTTGCGGCCTGCAGCAGGTACTGACAGTCCACTTTGTCAGGGTAGTTTTGGGGCCAGGCTGGGGACGTGAGTGTGACCGGCGAAGTGTCGGTGAGGTTAAAGTGTGCATCTCCACATGGCCCTGCGTAATGGGAAATATATCTTTATTCATATATTTTAATGCGGGGACCTGCCCAATGTAAGGGACTACGTCTTTCAACTGCACAGTCAATTTCGCCTTTACTAAATTAGTCGGTTCAGAATAGGCGTAATAGTATGCCCGCGCATGTATAATAATTGTCACTCAGTATGTTTTTAGCACCTGCCATTGACAAGCTAAGGCTAATTATGGCTTGAATTAATTGCTTTGTCATTTACAATTTAACTTATTTGTTTTTACGAGACACAATTTATATTTATTTTCCGTTATTGTACATGCCAATGAATTGTATTTTGTTCATGGTTGGATATAAATAAATATAATTGAATTGAATTGAATTATCATTTAATTTAGACACATTTAAGTTGGGATTATTTGTTAGAACATGTTGTATTGCTTTGTTGATTACCTTAAATATTTTTTAAACATTGATTTAATGATTATTCGAGCTATGTTATAATGTATAAATTTTACTGCGAACGAATATCAAACTGGTCTGCCGTAATATTTGGTTCCGCAAGGTCTTTTCCTTTTCCATGCCTGAATCCCATGCAGTGCTACTCAGAAAACTTTGAATCCGTGGCTCCTGCCTGGTCCTGTTGACCATTAGGAGTGTCCTTGAAAGTAGTTTCTTTATATTTGGTTTCATTCTTGCGACTGTATATTCTGCATTTTTCGACGCTCTTACGATGGTGTTGTTTTTAAGCTACAATGTGCCATGTGTACAAACGTTTCGTGCGCGTTGCGAGTACACATGCTACAGTGATGTTAAAAAGTAACTATGGGTCATTGCGAGGATACCCGCGACATACTCCCGCGCTAACTAAACACTCGCGCGTTTACTCGACACTCGCGCAGTGCTGGAAATGTTGTATAACTATTAGTGAAAAAAAAATGTAATTTACATGTAATTCATTAGGATGTGTTTCGATTGAATTGTAGGCTGTTTGTTTGTTGGGGTGTTGGGGTGTTTGTTTGTTTGTTTGTTTGGTTAATTTTAGTTGCAATCTTTATTATTTGGTGATTGGAGAGCAAATAAGGTAATGTTGTGACATTAAAGGTAATCACTGTCAATCCAGGCCATTCCTTATCTGACGGTTTTTCTACTCTACGGAGACCAACACGACTATTAAATTATAATAAGCAAGCCTCTGTATTATGAGATAGTGGCTTTCCGCTGAAAAAAGGGAAAAGCTGGGGTTTTTTTGGTTTTTTTGCTTAGCACTTTTGGGGACCAAATTCCCATAAACGTGGTGTATGATGACATTAGTCAAATTTATATAAGGGCAAATCTGAGTGTCTTGAACATTCCTGAAAAATGTAGATAATGTTACACATTTGAAAATCATGATAACGTCATAACCTGATTTGTATTAATTTCTGAACCTTTTACTTTTTTTCCCTCTATCAGCAACATTAGTAAAAAAAAAATGCAATCAGATTGACTTCAAACTAGGCAAGGACAAAGACCCCAAAATGAAAGGTTACCCTGGACAGGTGATGTCATGATGACTTAATCAATGGTCTTGTGACATCAGCTAAAATGTGTATATTTTAAGATTTATATATTGAGAACTGTACGCCCGATTGGTTTGGAACTTGGCTGGTACATAGACAGTGACATGTTTCAAAGATCGGTTGACGTCATGATGACGTGATCATAGGTTCCGATACGCCCTCGTATAGGTACATATTGTAAAAGTCATATATCTGCAGAACTACAAGAACAGCTAATGGGATTTGGAACTGCATTCAAAGCATTAGAAGCATAAAGGTATTGAAAAATATACAGAAAAAAACCCTATGTTCTGTTCCTCGAACATACAGAGACCTAGTTTAATAACAGTATGTTCTGTTCATTCAGCAAATAAGCCAATTTTCATCGCTTATTGGCTGCCTGAATTGTTTCTATATCACGTATTTTTACGTTTCTTTGTTTGCCTGATTGCCCGGTTTCATTTATCTATCAACAACAACTGAACTGACCGCAACTGAATTCATCAGAGGCTTGCTCACAGTCGACTATTCCATCGCAGATTGAGCGTTTGGATATGCATTTTCCTCCCAAGGGACACTTGAACTCGTCTGGACCGCAGTCTCCTGCTCAAAGAAAGTGCAGACTTCGATGTCAATGATTCAAATTTGTTTCTTAACAAAATATATAGTAACACTTTTAAATTGTCCGACCTTTTAATTTTTACACTCATCGGCTCACAAACAGTCATTGCGACAAACAAATACAGCAAAATGACTGATAAACTGACTGACTGACCAGTCTACCGACCGATCACTGACCGACAGATCGGCCGATTAAGGGTCGGATGAAGGTAGCGGGAGATCCTTGGGCCGGGACAAGTTTGAAGACCAAAAATAAACATAAATGCATGGCTGCTAAAAGATTAGACGCTCTATCAAGATCTACATGGTGTCCCTAACAAACATCAACACACAACGCACCCTTTTTCACAGCTTAAGATGTATATCGCAAATATCAACACAGTTTTAGCGACAATAGTTAACTTTTGCACCACCAAAAATAATTTCAATCGCGTACATATGTATGCAGGTATGATTGGTCATTTGAAATTATTCGGCAATTGGCTGTGAAAGCCCCACGAACGACCGTCGACTTTTTTCAAGTAGGGTCCCTTGGTAGAAGGCAGTGAAGGAAATGACAATTTGAGTGGCCGGGGAAACCTTGAAAAAATAAAACGCACTGATTCTGGTAGGGACTTATCAACTCAAATCCACATGTTGGCACAGGCGAGATTCGAACTCGGGTCACATCGGTGGAAGGTGAGGAAAGTACCACTATTACTGATTCCTTATAAATAAAGTTATCAGATGTTTCCCTTTTTCTCAGAAGCCATTGTGCAAGACCGTATGACGTAATGCTACTTAACCGACCAACTGATCCGATCAGCTAAAAAGCAAAACTAATTGATTTCAAACCAAAAAACTTTTACTGCCCGACTTAACAAGACAGCCGACTGCGCCTGGTCGACCTATTAACCGTTCGACATCATCAAACAAGGCACCAATTTACGGTCTGACATTTTGGTTATTTTGACCATCTCTCAACCGGGGGGGGGGGGATTCCGACCCCCCCCCCCAAGATCTCGGCCATGGAGAGACGAACATTTTGAAACTGAGAACATGCATAGGGCAAGTCTTCCTAAACATACCCAAGAAATTTCAAGATTATAGGTCAAAGGGTTTTGGAATTATGGCCAATTAATTATTCATATGTACGAATGGCAATTCTGCTCTGTGTACACCTGCGAAAATTCACTTTTCACGGCGCGTAGCGCCGGAAAACTTTTCGCTAGGCGGCAACCCGTGGTCCGATTTATATGTTTTTGGTATCAAAAGATGCGCAAAGCTCGAGGCTAAAAAGTCATAACAGCTCGGGGCGGGAATTTTTTTTCAGAGGCTATCGCGAAAAATGTCCGCCCCCCGGACTGTTTAGGGTTAATAAACCACTATCTTGTATTATTAAAAAAAAAAAGAAAATGGTTCATCGGGGGAAAAAGAGATACCAACCGCATCCAACTTCGTCTTCGTACTCTGGGCAATCCACTTTCCCATCGCAGAGAGCCGATGACTCGATACACGTTCTTCCAGACCCGCATAGCACAAGGTTAGAGGAACATTCTGTTTGGGACACGAAACACAACAGAAAACAGCTATCATGTTTAGTGTCAAATCCCGATGGGAAAACAAGGGAACATTGGCTCACGTAGTGGTCAGAATTAGTACCAAATTTAAAAAAGTCTAAAGAAAACCATTGAAATTAAAAGTTCATGCCTGGGCAAAGCAATGAAATGATGTCTCATCCAGTGATGTGTGAGATGCACATTTGGCGTTGCTGTAATGACATAGGACAGTTTCGCTTCTTCCTTCTCTAGATTCTCCTCGTAATTCTGGCTTGGATAGGAACTTCAACTGTTTAACATTTCTAAACTTGTGCAGAAGTCAGGACAATGCCAAGAGGTTAATATCGAGCAAATTATAAAGTGTTGCACGAGGGCGTTCTCGCCAATAGTAACTTCAACTATATCTGGTTACATAGCCTGGCTTATTTTAATGATGTCCTACCTGCATCTGAGAAGGCCTGAAATTGAAGCCAGAACCCCTTGTTGATAGTCACCCAAAAATTGTCTTTGACTGTTATCCACATCTGCGGGCCGCTAGACGAGATCGTCTGCGGGTATGCCGTGCGGTTTGCTCCGCCGGAGAGGCCGGGAGGCCTGATTGTTCGAAACCCGTTAGAGGTGTTGCTGTACCTGTGTTGCATAACGTTAATAATTCGATAGAAGACATATTCACGTATGTCTGTGCAGCAATAATGGCAATTCAAATACCAACTCATTTTCGCGGTAACAATTTTCACTTGCTTCAAATATTCAATGTTTAATGACTGTCTTATCACACCTGGTATAGGGTCCCTCACCGAAGACTATATCATAGCTGGTCGGGTAAGGCACAGTGACCATGATCCGCGTGCCTGCCGGAGAGGATATGTCCAACGGGGCGTCCTCGTTCAGGCCGCGCCGGTCAAGGGAGTACACATCGGCCTGGGTCAGGTTGATGGGGGACTCTATATAACCTATCATTCAAAGTGAGCATCTAATTAAATCACCAATGTCTATCTATCACTATCGCTATCAATACAAAGATAAATAGAAAGGTTCCGAATTTAATTTTCTGAGAGGAGAAGTTATTATTTCAAACTGACTGTCATTGGCCTGCACTCTCACAAAAATCTTGGACAAAAATCTAGGCCTGACACTTTTCAGGGTCAATTTTGTTTAGGTCAGGGGCGAAACTTTTGCTAAGGCTTATACCACAGGCTTTCAAGTAGCCCCAGGAGGAGAAAAAAACACCATTGTAAAAGCAAATAAGCCAGTTTTATTCATCAGTTCTCAACATTAAGGACATTACATTGGACACTATAATAGCCTGTGTATTCTGATTTAATTTTAGACAAATGGTGTTAATTAATGAAATAGTTGATATAATTGCTCACTAAGTATTTCAAAGCACGGCAACAGCGTTCTAAACAGATCGCTGTCACGTTTCGTGTACATGCAATAGGCTTGGACTGATCTGCACAGATCTTAAAATCAAGCTCCAACAAAAAAGACACATTCCAACATCCGACCTTTTAACAAAATGGCCTCCCTATAGCGTTTTAGGTATATTGTTTGTTTGTACAGCCGATGTTAGAGTAGTCTGAATATCACCCGTTATCCACGGAGCCAAATCCTGTATAACGTCAGAAATCTCCTGACATGCAAATCTGTGCAAGCCGCGCTTAAAAAAAATCAGTATACATGTAGACTTGTGATTTGTGTTTGTTGGATTGCAACGTTCTGCCTCCAAAAGACACTCAAGCAATGCATATCGTTCTTAAGGTGTTAGACTTTGCATGGTGGAGTATCAGTATCGTTTCTATTTGCGGTAAATGTGATAATAACAACTGTCGTTAAGTACATATTTAGTTCTGATAAGAACTTCGCCTGCTCAACGTTTCGACTAATCTTGTTTTCGTTTATTGGCGATATCGTAATGCATCCCTAGTGTTTAGCTGTTTGTTTATGCAATGTTGCTTTATTAATGTATCGGAGTAATTCTTAAAATTCCAAATAACTTACCACAATTAAATTCGTCGTTGGCAGCGGGGCATATGGCAGCACCATCGCAGACAGACTGTGGGTAAATACAGCTCCCACCTGGATCGCATTCAAACTCATATAAACGACATCCCCCTTTAATGAATGGTAACCAGAATTAAATAGAGACTGTCTTAGCAGTGTGTTTAGAAGCTACCTAACAAAGACTGAAGTAGTCACAAACTCTTTGTCTTCGATCACGGAACATTTACCAACGAAGTGTAGTTGTGAGCAGCTCTAGTGCAAACACACGTATGACCAGACATCCATGCATGATACGGATTTTAATTATCCAAGGCTAATCTCGTTTTAAAGAGGCAACCTCAAAAGTGGTAGATTTTTCCCATAATGTACAAGACGAAAAGTAACATACTCTAAGGAGGGGCATACTCTGGCTTGAAACAGGGCCTACCCGATATTCCCCAATACCAATGTTCCCCGAAATCATTATGATTAGGTTAGACTGTAGCCTTTGTGTGCGACCTCAATGTGATTTATCAATGACGTGCGTTGGACTGATGGGAGAAGAGAAAGACCTACATAATCCAACGTAATCTGTCTTTAATCCAACGTAGTCTCTCCTTTGATCTTTTATCGGCCGTGACACGAATTAAACAAACTCTTAGCTGAAGTTGCACATCCCTGTGTACATGGTCGTTGCTCTGCCAGCCCTAATAATTAGTTATTTGATAATCTCGATGAAACTAACATTGTTCTCGAAAATTCAATAAAAAACTTATTCAAAGGAAACACAAAAAGCACATAAGGACAGCGAGAAACGATTGACAGATAATCATCAATAGAAGCTTTAGAAAAACCATTTATGCTGTCTTTAGGCAAAGACACCCCCCCCCCCCCCAAGGCATTTGTCTGCTGCTAGAACTCAAACCCGAGCCAAAGACGGAAAAAACGGGGAAAATGTCAGTGCTGGAATCTGGCGACCCAAATGTACGGTAACCAGCTAAAAATGTCATCGAGGGCACTAAATTCAGTATCTCCTAACTTTGCCTGGTGGCAGTGAGGCAGTCCGATACTAAGAAGTTTTGTAGCCAATTCCACCACTGGTCAGAAGCACAGTTAAGTGAAAGCCCAATAACTTGAGTTGAGACTTCATGACTTGTGACAATTTACTTGTGATGTAGTGAATTCGACTGCAATACTGGTTATGGTTTTGTCAAAGGTCTTGAACGTAGGCACACAAAGCCAGAGTATCGAGCACAGTTATCTGTAATCGGTTATTAATTACAGCCAATCACTTTGAACATTTCCTAAAGACGCTTTAATTTACACACCTGTGTATACAAAACTAGCAAAATTGCTTACCGCATCCGAGTTCATCCCCGTGCGCTTCACAGTTGCTGAAGCCATCACAGCGATATGCCATGTCGATGCAGGCCATATTGGACGGACATTTAAAGAACTCGGTGCCACAGTCTGAGGAAACACAAGAGCGGTGGCATGATGTATACCATACTAGTAGGACAAAATTTCATTGAGGTTATGCACATGAAGGGAAAAAAACACCAAATAGTCATTTTGAGAATGAGATGTTTGAGCAATGTGAAACAAATATCCCATAGAATGGTATACGTGACGTGAAGAAGATGACGGGTACGGGTGGATGAAGCATCGAAATGGGGGAGTAATGACAGTTACTTTCATCATAATACGACAAAAGCGATGCAGTCCCAGATTGTGTCCACGTCGACCATCACGATACAGTGGTGGCAATGTGAGTCACAAATCCAAAATGAGAAACATATAAGGCGAAGTAAAACAAAACAAACATGTTTCTCGTCCCCGCCCGTTTCCTTTTTTGGAGGCCGCCTGATTTTTTTATTTTTTTGTTATTTTTGAAAAATGCAGAAAAAAAACACCAAAAAAAGTCCACAAATTCATCGGAAAATAAATTGTAGACCAAAACAAGTTTAAATGACACTGTAAATATGTTCAGTTCTCTTGTCCAACTCATCTTTCATTTTAAAAGTGTCTTCGAACAGTGAAAACACCAACGGTTGCAGGAAATTGTTAAATGGCGGCCATCTTGAAACAAATAAAAAATATAAAAAATAAAAAGCCCTGCTTCCTCTTTTTTTTTTTTTAACCCGGACGAGAAACATGTTTTTTTTTGTATTCGGCCTAAGCTATGATGACTATGGCAACGATGAAGATGGTTTTCATTTGGCATTATGGTGTACTACGAATACATGGATCAAATTGGAAATGGAAAGGAAACGGCCGGTGCAAAACAAATATATTACCATGTGTTTTGTGAACAGTAAACTCAACCTCCATTTTCACCAGGGCCGAATCAGAATCAAACTGGTTGTAGAGTGTCACCCACATGGTAGGGCCACTAAAATATATCTTGGCCGGGATGTCGTTGGGCCCATGGATCTCCTTGATCGGTCTGGCAGTGGGCATCTCGGCCAAACCGTCGTCAAACCTCAGCCAAGTACCCGAGAACTGTTGGGTGTAAGCGGTCACTGCAATCTCCATGCGGGTCGCAGCCGGGGCATTTACCCGCCATACGCAGTCAAAATTGGCCACAGAACCGCTCGGCCGGGTTGTACCTGCCGGTAGTGTCGGTGTCGGTGACGGCAGCACCGACCGGTTGCCGCGGTACACGACAAACGCGCCTTGTCCCGTGTGGGAATCGAAATCTGCAACGAGGCTGACAGCGTAATCTGCTGATAGCTCTATGTTGAAACCACCGCAGGTATCTTCAATATAACAGTGACACAAAAACATAATCAGTGCTGGAGACACAGGAGTACTCAGCCCATACTCGACTTTCGGTCCATGAATTTTATTAGGACTTGGCCCGTTCTCGATACACTGGATATAAACGTTAAAGGCGTGTGGTACTTAGCGGTAGCAATATTAATAGTTGGCCCTGGATAATGTCAATGATCTGCAAACTGTTCAGCTAGCTTTTGCTTGTTGAAGGTTCCATTAGGCAAAGGTTCTTGCCAAGAACTTGTAACACGTCTCTGGCCGCTAAAGCATGAGTGGATAAGATAGAGGATTGTTAATTTTCATGGGCTTGGGGGGGGGGGGGGGGGCAAGGGGGCGCATGCCCCCCCCCCTTCTGGAAAACGAAAGAGAGAGAGAGAAAACAAATAAAAATGAAAAAGAGGTGCGAAGCCATATTGCTGCTAATTGGACCGGGGGGGGGGCAAATCAAATTTCTCGCCAAAATTCCTGAACTTTTTCATTATATCCTCATTTTTTTCAAACATCTTCTGTCTGGCCCGTTAATTAATTGTGTCTCCTGCAATCGTGTGATGTATGTACTTTTTTAACAGCATACGGATTGATATGCCCTTTGTCCTTCCAATGATTTCTATCCGAGTTTTGTTATTGAAGGGATTCGCTCGTACCCCCCGCCCTGCAAACAGGACGCTGGGATACTCTGATGAGCTTCACAGAATCTTGTGAAGGAAATGGCCTATGACCTATGTATAAAGCATCTGGCTGCAGCTGTTCAAGACCGCAGTTACACAATGTGCGCAAATGCTATCCGAAAACTTCCCATAGAATTGCGCACATTCCATACCGGAAGTGATTTCTGTTTCATTGCGGACCATGTTGACAAAATTTTGGGCGTCGCATAATGCAATCCGACCGTTCGTTATTCGAAACGGAGCCTGAGCGAATGACGGGAATTGTAAATTTACAACACAGATAAGGTTTACAGAATTTCCGACATTATTACGCTTTTCAACGAGAAAAAACATCTCTAAACTGGAATACAAGAGTAATGAATCAGTCTTAACGGCCGTTTCAAACCTTGCAGAGTCATGACCTTGATGACGCGCAGGTCACTTGTGACATTAAAATCCAACCAATCAGAGCGTGAATTCATCAGAGTATCCCAGCGTCCTGTTTGCAGGGCGGGGGGAACGAGCGAATTGTAGGGAGACCAAGTGCGCCCTCTTTTGTAAACCAAAAGTTTCGCATGTGATTTGCATAGCGTGACCTTTGTGCTTCCCGCGCAAAGGCAACTTGTATCAAGTTTTTCTTGTGTGGGATTAAACAGGGAAGACCCCCACAACATCCAGGCATACATTATTTATAGTTTTAGGGAACATGCTCCAACTTTATATGTTTTTGGAAGGTTGGTATTATAGATTCGTCCCTGTGAGTACTCTGGTGTATAATGTGATCTTTTCGTGATAATATTGTGTTCATTTTGAGGGCCGGATGATTCACGAGTTGTAATGTGTAATGTATGTGTAGGCAACCATGTTATGACAGTTGAACTATACTATATCGATGTGTTATTTTATTGTACCTTACTATATCATGAATTATTGCCTAGTGCAAAGAATATGTTATCATCTTGACTCTTGTGTACAAAAAAAAACATTTAAATCTTAGTTCGGTAGCTCATCGCATTTTCGTCGTCATAGGTTCATGATTTAACTGGCATTATTGTTTCATAGAGTACTCGTCCCCTTTAACTAGAGGGCCGGCCTCCTTTTGCCTTCCTGCTACACTGTTACTAACGAGACATTACGTTTGCATCTGAAATCATTGCAGCAAGCAGACGCTTCTCGTTTTATCTCACGATAAAAAGGCTTTTGAAATATATATATATATATATATATATATATATACGTTTTAATAGTGATTCGTCAGCGAAATTAACGGTGCATATACAGTAAAATACTACACCGGATCAATTTGACAATTACCACATTCCATCTCGTCCGAATAGTCCGTCCAACTGGCTTTCCCGTCACACAGCGCATGCGCAGAGAGGCAGGCGTTGTGATCCTCGAAACGGGTCTGGTTGCCGCTGCAAATACCTGCCGGATAAAGCACATGCGATGTTACAAATATATAAATTATATGAAGGAAAACATCATTTGATGTCAGGGGAGGGGTGGGCAACCCCGCTCGCACATCCGCTCCAAAATGTAGACAATCTGTTTTGCTTCGGTCATTTGGCCTCCGTAAAATCTAAAAGCGCATTGGGATGGGGAAGGGGCGCTGGTACTCTTCTTCCAAATAAGGGCGCTCTTCTAAACGGTCCATTATTATGCACGGCGCCATGTACTTAATTTGGAGCTTGTTTGTTTGTTTGTTGTGTTTTTTTTTCTATGTAAGGACTCTATAACCATTTACGAAAAAAAGATACTGAATATAAACTCTTTAGAAAACAAATCCGCCGAGGGCGGGAATCCACGGGGGGGGGGGGTGCCCCTGCCCCCTTCTGGCTATGCCATTACACCAAATCCTAATTCTCCAATGGCAGGGTCTAAGTCGACACTTCAGCAAAGCTTTACAGTTACGAAATACAAACTGTTTCGAGGGAGTTTATTTTCATACCTGGTAAACTCTGAGCTCTGATAATAAATTCCCAAGTCGTCGCATGACTGCTCGCCCTGGTCGCCGCCGACGACTGGATGATAGCGACATTCGACCATGAATACAGCGACGTCCCAACCATGTTGTCGTAATTATCCAATGGCACAGTCTTGGCCGACAGGATGTCCTGCATACTAATCGAATGTATGTCTGACTGGTCCGCCGCTACGATGTCAATGTAGATGAACGTGCTGGGGTCGCTGGTGACGAACCACCCGCAGAAGTAGTGGTAGAACGCTGGAACAGATAGACGTATTGGTACTGTCTCTTCTCCTGTTATGCTGATTACTTTAGGTCCGCAGATGGTGACTTTAAAACAAACATGAACAAAGTGTTTTCATTACATTACTGCACTGTACATGTAAATGGAACTGCGGACGTCTGAAATGTATCACATAACATGTTTTACATTATAATTTTGTCCACAAATATTTAAGGTCGGTGATAATACGGACGATGTAAATAGCGGGCGAATTGGACGTCACGAATTGTTACTTGTTTTAATATATCAATCGAAACAGCTCTCGTTTTTGTTATTTTTTGGGGGTTTTTTCCCCTTCCTTTTCTTTTTAGGATATATGATTTGTACACTTTTTGTGTGTGTCGCAGTTCACTTCGGCACTGATAAACTTCAGACTTGGGTCACGCATGACCCACCAGCCCGTTATCCCCCAGGATGAAAAAAAGTGTAAGTATCGTCATGATAACGTCATCTCAAGTCATGTAACAACACGTTAACCCTAAAGGGGCCGGGTTATTTTTACCCTCTCTCAGCCGGGGGGGGGGGCGGATTCCGCCCCTCCCCCCCTAAGATCTCGGCCATCGAGTGACGAAAAATTTTGAAACTCTTCCCATGCATAGGGCAACTCTTCCTAAACATGCCCAAGAAATTTCATGACTGTAGGTCAAAGGGTTTTGGAATTATGGCTGAGTGGCAATTCTGCTCGGTGTACACGACGTATATGCGAAAATTCAGTTTTCACGGCGCGTAGCGCGGGAAAATTTTTCGCTACGTGCCAACCCGTGATCCGATTTTTATGTTTTTGGTATCAAAAGATGCGCAAAGCTCGAGGCTAAAAAGTCGTAACAGCTCGGGTCGCGAAAAAAAATTTTGTTGGAGGCTATCGCGGAAAATGTTGAGGGGGGATTCCGCCCCCCGGCCCCTTTAGGGTTAAATTGACGTTATTCTATGGCTTATATATAGGCCTAAAAAATCTAAACTATTGTGTATAATTTGTGTATAATTGAGGCGGTTTACGATTGATCAAATTACGCTAGTGCCTCAAAACATCACTGCTACTGCGATGTCGAGTGACACATGATGACTTCGCAATGACGTCGCTTTTGATGAAACAAACTGCATGTTGGATGACCTACTGTGATGTCACACATTCGTCACGTATTAATGTGGAAATACATCTATTACCTCCCAAATCTATTACAAAACAATTGCGTGATATATGATGATAATCTTCAAAACTTTAAAAGTCCATACATCAATGTTCATCTGTGACACACGCCTGTCCATGTAATTCCAAATTTTTAACCCGAAAGTACTTGTAGTTCTCAAGATATACGGCTTAAAAATAATTCGCATTTAAGCTTACGTCACATGACACATGGGAACTTCATAATGACGTCATTTGAAATCGTACAATGCGGTCTCGGTCTTGTGTCAAGTTTGGAGTAGATCAGAGCAAGGACAATGTAAGTTTTCGAGTAAAATGGCATATTAGAAATAAAATAACACTATGAAAAATCAACCAATGACGTCATTATGACGTCACTTCATGTTCTTCATAATCTGTAGAACACTATTAAAACAAAATAAACTTACAGCAATCGAATTGGTCGAAGGCGTTACTGCAGTCCCTAATATCGTCACATATCCAGGTCACCTCAACGCATTTTCCATCACCGCAATGGTACGCAGAGGAACTGCATCCGCCTTCAAATGAAGATGAACAGGAAAAAGGTCGAGTGTGGGGTCGCTACGAGACTCTAGATAACACTCTAAATACACCGCACGTTAGTGCACGAAAGTTGTGCTGTCCCTGGTACACAACTATTCTTGTAGTTAATACATACAAATAACATTTGAATTGTTTTCTCAATCAGCCTCACTGGTGCCCGCCAGTGCGAAGCGGAGATAACTGGTAGGTGCTGATCCACATTGTACATGGAATCTTGTGCTTATGGTCAACATGCTTTTTCCTCTAGCCAAAGTTTACTTTTGTCACTAGCCTAAAAAGGGTTACCCCATAATTTTGTAGCTCTCCCAAAGTACTGTTTTCTTATTTAAATATGTTTTATTATTATTTAGATCACCAACGGCCAAGCACAATAGCCGTAGTGAACAGGACCCAGGTTAGCGTCATTGCAATGCTGACCGGAGACGAGGAAAGAACATGTCACAATTTGCTTTCCTTTTCCCGTTTATCCATGTAAATATTTTGTACTTTTACCTATAGATTTCATAGTTCATTTATCATGAACAGTTATGTAGATGTATTCATGTGATTTCCTGAATAATTCTGCTTGTAAGTGTTGCTCTTTAGAAGCACAGATTCAAGTGAGCATGTTCCCGCTAATGTTCAATTTTGAATTATTCTTAACCTTAATCAGTCAAGATTTACTGTAAATTATTATTG